TTTAATATTCATAAGTGCCTTTTTAGTAGATGAAGGTAGATACTAGGTACGTAGAAGTTCTCGTGTTCGAATAAGTTTATTGTTAACATTCTCTAATTAAATTCCCTCAAGTTCAATTTGCGCAACCTTTTAGTAACAACATGTGTATTAAAAATATAATGATAAACTTTTCAAATATACAACTATTGTTACTATATACTTGCTTTCAATGTTAAATAACAATCCATACTAATATTATAAATGCGAAAGTAACTATCTGTCTGTCTGTCGCCTTTTCATGTTTAATCCGCTGAACCGATTTAGATGAAATTTGGTATAGAGATAGTTTGCTAGGTGAAAGTTTATGTCCATCATTTGGTTAGTAAGGGACATAAAACAAGTCATACCTTTGTATATATGTAATATAAGTAGTGTATATATTCTATACTAAGCATCAAAACTAGTATTTAAGAAATTCACTAGTAATTAAGAAAAGAATCGTGAAAAAGAGCGAAATGAGAAAAAAGTTACATATTAACGTGAGATGTATGATTTTATCAATTTTGTCTGTGCTATATGAACACGCCTTAGCTTAAACCCATCCGTGGTATAATGGCGCTCATTATGTTTACGTACGTAATCGGTTAGCTTGTAGGGTCGATTGTTTCACCAACAATCTCATGAATCATATTGTCAATATCAGTATAAAACAAACAAATGAATATATTCTTGACACAAATTACATATCTATAATTTTTTATGTTACTTAGAAGACTAGAATTTCTGTAATCAATATCGTTCTTCATTAGTAGAAAACGTAAAATTTTATGTGTATGACATATTCTCACCACTGTAGAACCCAAAAAAATATTATTTCCATTAATAGTGATAAATCTATACATGTAATATAATTATAACTAAACCGAATCTGTACATTAAATATTTTTTGGAAAATCTTATTGCAATAGACATTATTATCGTTACAGAGGCCGAATCTATAGTTTTTAGAATTTTTGTCTGTTTGTCTGTCTCTCTGTCTGTCTGTCTACTACCGCAATACAGAAAAACCACTGGAGGGATTTTGATGAAATTAGGTATGACGATGGTTATACGGGTCAACATATATGATACTTTTTACCGCGGGAAAATATCTCATTTAAGAGAAAAAATACAAAAACACTACATATAAAACCTAAGAATTTGGTTTTTGGTCATCTGAACGCGGGCGGAGCCGCGGGCAATGCTAGTAGATTACAAAAAGAATATAGACATATTAAAATAATCTACAGTGAATTAAATGCGCAGTTACTTCAAACGCCACACAAAACAGGTATTTTTTTAAGAGGCTCGCGAGCATACTAATTATATACTATGTATAGCCTTTGCATAACCCATATATTTATGAAATAGCGATGATTTCATTGTTGACCAACTTCAAATAACAATGGTGTGCGTCCATCGTCATTACTTAATGTAAATTAACATCCGTTTTAAATATTAATCGAGACATTAATGTTTTAATATTAATCACACGTAGGTACTCTTATGCTTTGTAGATTGCGCAATGCAATGCGCTTATTGAATGTCTGGTGCGGGAATAACTTAGAGCGTACGCAAATACAAAGACGGAGGTAGCAGGTGTATTAATTAAACACAAATTGTTAAATGTATTTGAAATTGCGTTTGAACTGTTATTTCTGTTTTTATATTAATCGAATATACTTATTAGCACTAAAACTTAATGAAATATAAAATATACGACAATGAAGTAAAATATTTTCATAAATTCTGAAGAAAAATTCATATGTTTTATGATTAACATTATAATCATAATATTTTACAGTTTCTATCTTTAACAAGAAATTATAATAGTTTAGTGTGTAAAATTTAACGTGTAGAGAAGCGCGTCCGTTCTTGTCACGCGGGAATAACTACACTGTCAATGCATGTAAGGTGGACGTGTCCCCGATACATGGACGGATATACAAATTAAACGTAGACATTCAAAATCGAATGTACCGTTTAAGCTAAAAGGGCACTAATATAGCTATAGAGTAAATTCCAACAATATCAAGTTTTTGCAATCCTCTATACAAAAGCGTTGGACTTAGTTTGAATTCTATGTCTGGTTCTCTGGAACCACAGCCATAGACCGCCTTTCAGTTAGGGTTTTCATAACATTTGCATCGTAAAGTCATCTACGTAAACGTCTTGCACTATTTCCATACAGTTATGTTAACACTAAACTAGTATTAACGGATTTATCTCGCGTAAACATTAAAAAATCAATATTTATTCCGGTACAACACATTTCAGTTTACCATTCGCTCGTCAGCTTGTCTGTCATGAGCGAGACCTCTGAATGTTATCAACAAAACGCAGAATAAATGATGAACATAATTTTGTATAATATTCGAAGTATAATAAATGATAATATATAAGAACCGGAAAATGATAATTTGTTGGTTATTTTAGATAAAAAAAAAACAAGACAAAACATATTTTATGAGACACAGATCTATGTCCATCATCAGATCATCTCGATGATGTCAAAATCATGCACTGTAGTCCGGATTATTTTAATGTAGATATTTACATGTTATTATAAGAAATTTGGACTACCTAATTACAAACAACTAATAAAAACATGTAAAATAAAATAGCTACATCCATAACCAATAGACAAATGAAAATATTCTTAAATTTACCTTAAAAAATTTAAAACAAACGAAACCAAAAAAAATAATTAAATCACAACATGTTCCTTGTCATTGTATTTTAAGCGATACAAGCATTGAAAAATACTTTCAAATAACTGTTGAAATAGAAGTAATCACACGGTGTTCTGCATACACCGTATCACCGCATTATAATACATTACAAATTTAAAACTACATCGGAAAGTGGTTTTCTATCCCATTTAATATTCACCGTGCAGATTAATTGTTGAACAGCTTTGCACAACTTTTGTTTACTTTTACTTTCTTCGATTATTACGAGAGCACGTTTCGAACATCGTAAACTTGTTCGATTGCATATGCAGTGAAATATCTCTTTCGCGTTGAGGAAAACCTTAATGCATTTCCGATATAATTTGTTACTTCTATTATTTTGATTTCACTATAATTTTGTTCTTATGTTAAATTATTAGAAATGAGACATTTCTTACTTTACACTTTTAAATCAGTTGATTTATTTATTGCAATCTTTATTATGTCTCCATTATACAAATATCTGTTGGTCGGTGGTTTTAGTGTAATTGTTTAATTTTTTGACTTCGAAAATATCTGATTAGGTATCTATTGAACACCCCCGTTTAGTTATTTTTTTACATTTCAGTGCCTTGAAGTCGGTTTTTTTAAGTTTTTATTACTTAAACTGATGCGGAGTGCTAAAACTCGGTTCCCGACACAGCAGCTTTTATTATCCATACTTGGTCGAATACAAACCATTACCCCTTGTGAGAGTTGAACTCAGAACGTCAGGGTTAGTGTTGAGCAGACTACTATTATACGACATTTAACTTTATATTGACCATAAACACGGCAATAAGATGGCTGCAAGGACACAAGGTCATTTAAAGATTAATATTGCTTTATTTAAAAGTTAAAGCTATTTGTCATATTGCAGCCCATAACATTTATAACCACGTATTGTATACATATTTAGCATTTATATCTGCTTTTACTCTTACATATACCGCTAATCTTAATTAACCTAAGAACTGATCATTATATAAATGAAGTTAATTTGCCATGAATGAGTCCCTGAAGGAAACGTTTAATAGAGTTGATCTCTATATATAACCGATGTAATTATGGCTTTACTTACTCGAGATAGAAATTTGACATAATTTCTATGGAGCTTATGTCAAATGTCTATGGCTAGTAAAGAAAAACAGTAGATGGATAGGTTATTGGGACCTGCAGTGAATCTTATGCCCGATTTCACCAACAATCCATTAGCTACCATCTACGTACGGGATCCCTAGCTTAAAAGTCCCCTAAACTAGCCCCTAAATAAAATTTCGTTTTACGATCGTCTTTAAGCCCATATTTCGAGCACCTAAATTTAGGGGGCCTTTTAATATTTTGGTGACCTCTAACTGTCGGTGAAACAGAAACTGTCCGCTAACAGCCCCCTAACCATTCTTAGGGTATCCCTTAAACTTAGGTGACGTTGGTGAAATCGGGAATTAAAGTGCTTGGAACTGAAATTGTTTACTTTGCAATTGGTAGAAGAGGTTGACACTTAAAATATTGAATGCATCGACCGAACATGCTTTTAAACTAACGGATATTTAAAAATATCAACATAATAGCGTTTATGCTAATGTCTTTTTCTAACATGTCAGTTTTGTTAAATGTTAAGTTACACGCCGAGTTACCTACACAATGCTATGTTTACCAATTACTCGAACAATTATTGCAAAGCGAATTGAAATGTGCGTGTAATTTATTCAATTTAGAATTTTTTGTTTATTTTTATAAATGCACAATATAATTCAAGCTCCGACAAGTAAGTTGATCCTTCTGTTAAATGTTATATGGATACATTTATTCATTTAATAGCAGTCGACATGTATTTGTTGGCTACACTCTAAAGTCTAGACATAAAAAAGTTTGTATTTAAATTTAAAAACCCTGAACATAAATGTTGCTAGCTTAAAATCAATATTCTAAGCTTTTAGCCGCATAGGTACTGTGTATAAAACAGCAAAAGCACTAAAACTAGTTTGAAACTAGCTCATAACGATCCGTCAGTGGCCGCATCTCCGTTGAGGACGACTTTATGCACTTCTCGCCGAATTAGCTACACAAGGGGATGTTTATACAAGCAGTGGACTGATGTTTACTTTAAAAACGAATTTCCAGATTCACATTTGAAATGGTTTCTGAATTATGCATATTATTAACTAAATCTAAGAGACTTTGAAAACTTAATTATACATAGAGTACCTAAATAGGTTCTTAAAGTAAAAGCATAGCCGGAGACGTGTTTCATTATAGAATTTAACTAACCTTATGATAAGTGTCCTTCTGCCAGTTTTTGATCTGAGCTATAACGTCGTTGACGAGACGATCGCGCACACTCAGGTGCAGGTCGGAGAGTCGTTCGGCTTCCACCATACCGCCTTTCCACGCCGCTTCCATTGTGCCATATTCAGGGCCTATAATAAAATGTAGAAAATTATTGATAAAAGGATAAATGAATATCATCATCATCATATAGAGATTATGGCAGATTGGTACCAGAAAACACAAATCCAATAAGGGTTACAGATAAACCAATAAAAAATTAACAAACTACCAGCCTTGGTACTTGTGGCCTACTAACCTAAATGGATTAAGGATTGTCATTAGCTGGATTTTTATTAAATACCTCGCGCGATTAACGAGTAGGTACTACATAATAAGAACTAGATTACTGCATTCCACCTTTCACTGGAACATACAAGTCATTTGTTTGAACGGTCACTGCGCATGCGCATACATTGATATTGTAATCCTAGCTTAGTGATCCTAGTTTTGGAGAGCGCCTGAATTTCGAGCTGGTTAAACCAACTAAATTAAATGAAGTACATAACAATGGAAAGACTGTCGAGTTTTAATATATAAAATATAATTTATTTCTTAATTTTTATTTTAGCAGTTAATTCGTGAGGTCCGTGTTTGTAAATATATATAAGAAACATTTTCTTCAATAAACATAATAAACACATGATTTTGGCAAACGATGTTGCCCTATCTACAATCATGCCTCAATGAAAAGAGTCCCTAGTGATAAAGTCCCTAACAAACAAAATTTCATTCACACTATTACAAGCAAGAACAGTTAATTCCCAAGGCGCGCCAGTTTAATTTCTCCATTCTTGAGTCCATCTTAATTGCTCAGACTAATCGAAGCTAAAGTAAACAGATTTAAACCAAGAATTTAGGCGTTTAGGGTACAAACTTGCCAACGCAGTTAAATTCTGCATAAATTACTATTAGCGTGAGACGTGGCCCCCGAGAAGCAAATTTACTTAATTAATGGTGCGTGCGCGTAAGGCAAAATCTTAACTTTCTTTCATCACATTTTTTTTTCTTGAACCAAATTTAATTTTATTTATTTATTAAAGTAGAATAGCTACGCTTTCTAAGTTGGAATTAATTATATAATTTAACTTGAAATATGAATAAGTAACAACTTACGGTAAGTTATAATTAACTAGCATTGCCCGCGTTCAGACCAAAAACAAAATTCTTAGGTTTTACATATTAGTATACTCTTACATTGCAGTTTTTGTATTTTTTCTCAGAAATTAGATACTTTCCCGCAGTAAAAAGTATCCTATATATTGACCCGGATAACCAGCTATCATCATACCAAATTTCATCAATATCCCTCCAGTGGTTTTTCTGTGATGCGTTACAGACAGACAGACAGACAAAAATTCTAAAAACAATAGATTCGGACTCTGTATCAATAATAATGTCCGTTTCTATAAGATTTTCCAAAAAATATTTAATGTACAGATTCGGCTTGGTTACAATATTATTATATGTACCTATAGATGAATGAATCCTATACCTAATTTTCAACTAGTTCTTCTCGTTGATAACACGACTACTTTAAGTTTACTTTCAACTTTTTAATCGTATGAAACTGGAAAATGCAAATGTTGAAAGTAAGATTTTAAGAAGTGATATATAAGAAACATTTCGCAATTAACGAAAGTTGCGATATTAAAATACAATTACACGCATACATTACTACTTTAAGAAAACTGAATCCTATAAAAAAACTGAGAGATTCGAAAGAAATTATTACTGTACAGTGTACTACATACTTGTTGGTATCAATTTTTGATTACCTGTTTTTAAATTAAGTCCATTAATGAAAAATGACAAACTTGTTTCACATGACCCACTGGTAAACTTCCCGGTTACATAACAATTATCCATCTCGTCTGTAAAAACTAGTCTCTGACCAGTTCTTGTTGGTTTCATAACTTTCCCTTCATATCGACTGATGTAAGGTGCTGTATTATTATTATTATTTGCTGTATTCATATATTTTATTGAGGATCAAAAATTAATGTAAAAGTACATATGTGTAACACAATAAGTCATGTCAAGTCATGAATAGTAAGTATTATTACCTATTTGTATAAAATTGAACATATTTAATAATTTTTGATTCCTACATTATGTTATTTTATGTGTGTATGTATGTTCTTCTTGAAGTCCCACTGCTGGACACGGGCCTCCCTTCAATACGAGGGGGATCAGGCCATAGTCCACCACCAAGTTCTCTCAGACATGCAGGTTACCTCATGATGTTTTGTTTTCCATCGCCGTAAGGCAAATGGTAATCATGTTAGAACTGATTCGCACATGAAAATATTAGAGGTGCGAGGCCCGAGATTTGAAACCACTTCACTCGGTTTCCCAAGCGAGCGCGTGACCAATGGACTACCACTGCCTGTTATACTATTTAACTGTATACCAATTATTTAAACTCAATTTTGTTATGTTAACTTGGACAATAAAATTGAATCTTAAAAAATTTAAGTACATTATAATAAAATCCACGCGAAATAATTTTTAACTATCACTACACACAACATTTCAGTATATTTACTATTTAAAATAAACTAATAGCGCCTTTGTATACAATAAATTTATTAGAAGAAACTTTTTTAATACTTATGTAAATAAGAAAAATCTTTCATATACTAATGTTCTTGTGGTGTTACGCGACTTTCTGATGTCACATTACGTTAGTCATGTTACTACTTTCGATTTTCAATAATGTATGTAATAAAACATTATTTTCGGCACGTCTTGACCGGCGACCCAATCTGAATCGTATCGAATTCAGCGCGTGCGCAGCATAAAGATCAAACTAAGGCTGCTTACATACGGTTGGAGTAGTTGGTCTTCTAAAGAATTGCACTGAAGTACAATTCTTTATATAAGTTTTTAGGGCGCTAATCTAATATTAATAAATGACTAAGTTTCTAACAAATCCGACTCGTTTTTTTTTAATTTGGAAGAACAATCTTATATTTTATATTAATTTGAGATACAATTTTTTTTTCAAACATTATTTTACTTGTAAAATATAGTCTGTAGTCACCCTAAGCATCAAACGACTTTCCATTTCGGTTTTTAATGTTTTATTTGCGCCACAAGTGTTTATGCAAGCTGTTGTGAAAAATTGTGCAGAGAAATGTGCATCGCCGTAGAATTATAACGACAGTATTACAAGAGAAATGTACAACTGATTTAAAATTGATTTTACTCTTTAAACTTATTATAAGCATTGCAATTTTATCTTATGATATTTAAATTATCCTATCTTTCGACTTAACTCTATAAAACAAATATTAACTTCCAACAAAGATCTGAACAAGGACGCAAATTCGTAATTACTTCTAATCCTTAATTAAATCATCCGTATTATTATTAAATATTATTAATTAATTTGAAATTTTGTGAGTATGTATGGATGTTTGTTACTCTTTCACGCCACGACGACTGAACGGATTTGGATGAAATTTGGCAGAGATAGATTATAGAATAGACTGGAATATCATATAGGCTACTTTTTATCCCGAAAAAATGTACCGTTTCCGTGGGATAGGATTGTTTTTGTTTTCCTAGAGTGAACCCAAGCGAAGCGAGGGTGAGCCGTAAGTACTAATATATTTTAAAATATAATATTTAACTGATTTAAAAATACAATAGCAATTTCTCAATTCAGACGTTCTTGTTGTGTATTTCTACGAATCTTTTTTTAATGATCATACTCGACCTCGAGGGTACTCTCATATTATACATTTTGACGTCAGTGTAAATTTTAGTTAAAGAGCAATTATTTTCAACTAGTGTTTTCCCTTGACACGCGTAATTTATTTATGTATGATAAAATATTTATCTCTATACAACCTATGTGTTATTCTAATGTATAAGCTAAATTACTATAAAGTTACATCAAAATTTGTTCAGTAATTTTCGTGTGAAAGAGTAACAAGCATCCATCCATACATCCTCATAAACTTTCGGTGTTATTAGTAGGATTTAGAAATATATTATTATAATTAAGCTAAGTGAAGGCGCTTTAGATAATATTTTTAATAACCTTAACACGTAGAGATAATAATTATTTAAATGTTATTTGGTGAATGGCCTTACCCACTTACCCATAATATGTTTATTGTATACCTACCGTATCAGGTCTCCATACTATGCTACTGGATAGCTGATGAAATATTAGTTAAAGCACAAATAGACCTATCCCACGGGAACCGTTCATTTTTCCGGGATAAAAGTTAACCTGTTGTTTGACTGGCAATATAAGGTATCACCATGCCACAAAGTTCCTAAATTAGGTGCATAAGTTGTTGTGTACTGTACTAAGCTGTATAAGTTACTATAGTTTTTATAATCTCACGGGAACTCTTTAATTTTCCGGGATGAAAAGTATTTAAAATGTTGACCGGGGATATAAGGTACCACCATGCAAAATTTCATTTAAATTGGTCCAATAGTTTCGGAGATTAGCCCGTACAAACAGATAAACAGACAGACAGAGAAACAAAAGAATTGAAAAAATCTGGATTTGTTCTATTTCACTTTTTACATCCTCCTGACTCGGTTTTTAGCATTTTTTTCTATATACAGACATTCGACCTCTACAGTTTTAATATATGTATAGATTGTCCGTAAATTCTCTTGTAGAGTTGTGTTATTCCAGCATCATAAATCTATCTCGTATTTCTTAATTTATGATATTTTTATTATGATTTTAACTAGTAATAAACACATTTTGTATAAAACTACCTTTTCGGATTTTTTTGCAAATTCATTTCTTAAGTCTCTCCCGTGACCATGATTGCTGTAAAGCATTCAAAACGTCGGGAACCAAAAATAAAAATAAATTCGCGAAAAATCCGAAAAATTAGTTTTATTTAAATATCGAACATTCGCGTAAATCTAAGAAAGTATTAGTGATAAACACACTCACAAATCGCTGTAGTATTTTTATACATATTGTTTAGACGTTTTAAACTCGACGTCGAATAATTGTTTTTTTCATTTACTTTGCCATAGTGAGCGTGCTTTAAATACTACAACAGCTAAGCACTTATAATTTAAAAGAGACGTTGACAAAATCTAGGTC